CTGTGTTGGTAGCATATGATTTGATGTTGATTCAGATTGTTGTTTTAATGTAGAAGGAGAGTCCATGTTACTGTCAGCATCTTGTGATGAATAAATTGTATCATCTATATGAAAACTATTTGCATAAGCAAATAATGAATCATATAATTGATCAACAGGTACAAATTCATTATGTGACATTGCATCAATTTCTATAACAGAATCATATTGTGTAGATGAACTATTATAAAATTTTGGTGATTGATCAATATTTATAGGTGATGGCTTTGTTGGACTAATAAGTGATACATCTGTTAGAGAATCACTATCATCATTTGTTGAAATTTTTGATTGTGGTATACGTATAGGTTTACTATTGATTTTTGTATTATTAATCAAAGTTTTATTTGATGATAATACTTTTGTTTGTCGAAAACGTATAGGTTTAATATTGAGTTTTGTATCGTCAGTCAATACATTAATTGATGGTAATGATTTTGACCATTTATTCATATTTAGGACATGCTTCATGTATAGTTATATGTATACTTTCAATCAACTGAATATCAGTATCATTTTCCGTTACAAATATCAATCATGCATGACGCTATCAAACATTCACATAGAGTGTATGACCTTATACAAGCAACTATTAATACGCTGAGACAAGGATTTTTTCTTCTTCATTTTATTCAATAAATATCTCTATAATTAGAAAGAAGAAGAAGAAGAAGAAGAGGAAAAAAAAAGAACGAACCTTTTATTTGTAATTTTGATCAGTAGAGTACCAGATGCTCATCAAAAAATAAAATCAATTAAACGAGGATATTTAAAAAATACATAAATATTAAAAATATGTTCAAATGAGTCAGAAATCGTTTCTTATAAAAAAAACTTACGAAGTCTGTATATGATTGTTATCGAAGGTCAATAGATTGAGTAAATATACGAGTCGTTCTCGTGAACTTTCATCGAATACATATTGCACTGACATTCTGGACAATCTAGTGTATATATGAGCAAGGTCATTCATGACGATGGTGACTCAGTTTTTTGGTTATTATTTGAATAGTATGTAAAGAATATGATTCTTTTTATCCAGTAGGGCGCGTATAAATTTTCGATAATTTCATACTCTTTAACCTCAATGTTGTTATAAACAAAAGCTATTCAATGTTTTATGGTAATCATTTAAAAATTCGAAATATTTGTTAGAATTTCTATCATTTTAACTTAGCTAACTTTTCTATTTTTGAAGTATATAGTATTGGGAATTATTTATAGTTGTTTATATTATCTCCGATAGATGAAAATATGATGTATAATCGATGAAAACCCCAATCTTTTGATAATGTCCTTGTCGCTGTATAGAAGAAAATAACCATCAAGATATCACATAGACTATTCATATACATACAAGTATATATATATATAAATTTTTACCAATTATCAATATATAAATTGATAAA